TTTTTTTTTTTTTTTTGGGAATTACTGCAACAGATTTTTAATTAGTTTTTTTAATTTTATTACAAATGTCATGATCATTTACAAAATACAACAAAGGGACCCCTTAAAAAAATATTGCCCATAATATAATAAAAATATTATATATTATATTAAAAAATATATATACAATTTATGTTATCCAAATGGAATTTTGTTTTATTAACTCAATGCTTTTGTCACTTTAAATTAGTAACATATATATTTGTTACTATTAAAAGTATTGAAGAAAGATATTAGTGCTAGAGAGGTTTGTCGCAGAAAGCCCTAACAAATTTTGCCACAGGGGTACTCATAAAAGTGAAATTTTTAGGAATTACATTCACCTGTGCTTGTGGCGAAAGTTGTGCAACTTGTGCACCAGAAACTTGCACAGCAGATTGTAAGCCTTGCATTACAGCAACTTGTTCATTGTTTCCTCCCCCACCTGCTACAGCAACTTGAGTGCCAGCCTGAGACACAACAGCTCCTCCACTTGAAGCTACTTGAAACTGCTCCATTTAATATAATATATGATTTCTAAAATATAAAACATAAGTTAAAAATATAATATATAGATTAACATGTAGTACTAAATCTCAATTGCATATGTAACCAGGAGTAGCAGCAACTTTTACTAAAAAAAGTGACTTTAAAAACTATTTTTAACAACAAAAAAAACTCCACAAAGGAAAAGCATAAGAAAGAATCTCGTGGGCAGTGCACTTTTGGATACAACACTAAAATTTAATGAGTTACAATTTACCATAAGTCAAGAGATCTTTATTCTCTTCTCATAAAAATTTTCCAGCAATTTATGTCTCATTTCCTTTTTGTAAAATAAGCATAAGTTAACATCTCAATTTTCAGCGCAATTTAGGTTAGGAGATCAAAATGTCAACTTATACTCTGCAAAAAACTATAGTTGGTATTTGCGTCACTTTATTTTAATTCAATTATGTATTTTTTGGAAGAAACAGAGGTATATTATAAAACATGAATAAATTTTAAATAACTTTTATCAAACTCAGGAGTTTAACATAATTTAACAGGAATTAAATCAAATTTAGAAGTTCAAATCAATAACACTGATTTGTCAATTAGTTCATGGTAATGAAATTAAATCGTGCCCAACGAAACAGAAAAAAAAAAATGAAGATTCTTTAAGGTTACGAATTTGTAATTACTTGTAAAGCACCTAAAAAATTCTTACATATTAGTAGTCATAATATTAAAAATTAGAAAATAAGCTTTTTTATAATTAATTTTTCAAACTAAATAAGTTTTTGGTGATATATAGGTTAATCAAGAATTTCTTACAAAAATTATTAAATATTATGAATAAAATGTAATGGAAAAGATGTAAGAACAAAACTTTTACAAGTTCAACCAGTGTAAATAATTAACAAAAAAAGTTAAGAAAGTGGAAAAGAACTTGATATCGAAGAGCAGGAACAGCTAATAAGTCTTACACAAAAAATTTTATTGCAATTTTTTTTATAAAAATATTTTCAAAAACATTATAAAAGTATTTTTTAAGCATTAAGCTGCAATAGATGTCATAAAATATTTCACATCTTTCAAAAAATGGTACTTACTTCTCTATTTTTTTCACTTTCATTTTTAGTCATAGTTAAAAAAAAAAAAACCTGAATTGCAAGTGAAAAACACATCAAATTTGAACAAAAATTCTGAAATTCTCCTAAATAGTTTATTAAAGCGAAATTATGACAGATCAAGTAATGAAACAGCTAATTAAATACATGAAGGAATAACTCAAATTTTTGCACTAGGAATTTCAAAGTGACAATTCACGTCATTTCCATTAAAAAATAGATATGAGAATTAAATTAGTATAATGTCACAAATAAAATAATATTGAGATAGTTTAATAAATTTTCTTAAGCAATTAAATGTATTTAATTTTTATTAATGCTTGAATTCAAGCGATCTTGATTTCAAGTAAATGCATAATGTTCATGACCTACTTAATTTTAAAAACATTTAAAACAATAAGTAATAGAATCATTTAGGGAAATAACAGAATCAAGAAAAATCAAAATAATATATCACAATAAATCATTCCTTTATTTAGTGCATTAATGGATCCACCAGTAATTACCCTGAGTGTAAACAATATAAAGCATACATTGAAGTAAGCTGACGCCATTTTCGTAAAGCGTTCTTCCTGTAATTTATGATTATGTGTAATAATCATTTTGATTCAAATATTAATTAAAACCAAAGCTCGAGTCAAAACTCAAATTAAGCGGCCCGTTGGATAACTTTTCAGCGAACGAAATCAAAGACAGTATACGAACTTACATTGGCAGAAGAGCAGTGGTCCTTTCTTGATTGGCTATGGAAATCTACCACCAATGGACAACGAATCACCGGTCATAAAAACAAGTTAGCTTGGCCTTTATTGGAGCAGATTTTGTCCTTTAACAAATAGATTTGTTTCGCTTCTAATGAATAATTAGTGAACTAAATACAAGCAACGACTCATCCAAACAAAGATAATAAGTGATTTATAAATTTATAGTACCACTTTCTTCAATTACATTTTCAAGAAACGCCACTTTTAATACGTAGAATATCACACACAAAGATGAATTTCAGAATTAAAGATGCTAGGCAGCGTTTCACATAGAGAATAAACATCGCCATATTTGTGATTAAAACTTTACTACTAGGTGTCTCTCTCTATTAGAATTCAAAGTGTATAGATGGCGCTAAACAATTTTTTGACCTGTCAACACAAGGCATATTAGCATGTGGTGGAGCCCCTGAATTAGCATGTGGGTTACCCTGTTTTCAATCTTGATTTCAAAACCTATTTAAAAATGTTAAAGTTTCAATCAAAGTAGTATAAAGCAGTGCTTAAACTTCAAGACATATTTTTGCTACATTTTGATGGAATATTTCAGGAAAATTTTAAAATTGCATATTCGCGATACAACGCTTGAGTACGCCCTCTAGCGGAGCCTGAAAATGTCAGGCATTTAGTTGTACCATAATCATTGGCAAATTTAAAAGCCATTTTCTAAGTAGAAAAATTTCTCGAAGGAAAAGGCAGAAGAACTTGAAAAAAACGACCCAGTACACTGGTAAATCTTTCAGAAACAGAACGCGCCCAACATTTGAAGAAATTTTTAAATAATTTTTACCTTTCTAATATCAGCAAACTTGCAACCGATAACTTCCATACCCTTACAGATGTGAGTATTACGGCATAATCCATTTTTTTTTGTCTTCAATTCATTACAAATTAAAGTGAAGTCAACATTTCTTACTTTATTCCAATTGATAGATATGATTTCAGAACGTGCAGAACTGTAACGTTCGTTACAACAATTCACTTCCTCATTTTGACCAATTGCAGCTCATTGATGCAGGTTGAATGATTAAACATGAAGCCATTAAACTCGTAATAAATTGGTGGAAAAAATTAACTTATTGTGAAAATATTAGCAACAAAATAAATTTTTTAAGCTGATGAATAACGTAATTGATTTGCTCAAATTGGAAATTTCATTCGGTAAAGTGAAAATTTCGCAACTCCCAAAAATATAAGTCCGGGGTATCGGATAATTTTTTTCTTGTTTGAACAGTATTGTTCTATTTTGAATAGTAAAAAAGTAAAATACGCCGAAAATTCTGCTTTTCACTTTCCATGTTTGAAAGGGTACCAACCAAAAACCCAGATAGCAATATAAGGTTTTTTTCCCCCAACAAAAACCTTTTCATGTAAATCTAAAAAGGGTTTTTACATGGTTTACGCGTAAACCTTCTAACCTTATAACGAGGTCTGCGACAATCTGCTCTATTCTACGCACATTACCCTAATCCAAAACCTTGGAAAACAACCTTCAACATAACAACCTTAAAAGGAGGTTGTCTTAGGCTTTTCAAGCTGGAAAAAAAACCTTGAATAAAGCTAGTTCTAAGATGAAAATCATCTTAAATCTACATAATTATAAGGTTTCCGTTTGCAGCGTTTCGTATGCTCAGCTAAAATCTACCCTGTCATAAGATTTTCATTGACAATGCATTTTAATGCTATTGCGTCAGCTAAAACGTCATTCTGAACGTGATGTCATCGCTCCCACGATTGTATGACGGCGCGTTTCATTACTTGTTTTATATTTTACTTCTTATAGCTTCCCAGTCCGAGGAAAATTCTCCTTTCCATCAATTTTGCTTGATTATTTTGCTGAAAATAGTCATTTTTTATCAGTCTGACTTACTCTGCTGTAAGAACTTAGTGATTTACAAGTTAAAATATCGTTTAATATGAAGTTTTTTTTATTTAACGATTTGATTAATGAAAACACAAAATAAATAGAACATATGTAATACTCAAAGATGGTCTGCGTATTTTCTTCTTTCTTATTCAGAAATTTATGCGGTGTGAGAAATTTTGATGAGTGCAAAAGTGTTCAGTTTTTTGTATATCAAAGAAAATTAGCATGAAACATTTTCTTTTGTCAAAATAAATAAAATTCAACTGATTAATTATCTCTTACTTAATATGTATGATATGATAAATGTAGGAAATTTAATGATAACAAAATATTTTTCAAAAAAAAAATCGTTTAATGAATGTAGAAATTCCAAACATATTTTTTAATGCACAACAACAAATAAATATTATGATTATCATAACAATTAGTATATGACAAGTGCATTAGTACAAATCAGATATGCCATAATTATATTAGGTATTTTGTTAATATATAAAAATATTATCTGTATAATAACCATTAGTGAATAATACAAAACAGATATACCATAATTAAATCAACTATTTCGTCAATACATAAACAAACGATATTATAGGTATAATAACCACCAGTGAATACGTAACATATTTAACATGACGGAATTAGTGAAACAATCTTCATTCAAGTAAATGACTTAGTCGTCAGATATGCTCCTTTCTATGAAAAATAAGAGGAAATTCTTGTGTGCGTACTTGCATATATTGAATGAAATTTTATGTATATACACATGAATTGTATGTACGTACATATTGTACGTACAGGAATACATGCGTACATTATATGTATACAGGTGCATGCACACGTATAAATAAAAATACATGCATACACACGCAGTATATAATTATATATCTATTGTTACTTTAAATATTGTTGCATGAATAACATTGTTATTAGACAAAACATGCATATAGTACATGCACACGTGAGTACATTGTATGCATATGGACGTAGAATGAATAAATTACTTGTTGAAAACGAAAAGCAGACTACTCTGAAAATTTTTTGATCTAATGATCGGTTGTTTTTGTTGGTCTAAGTCGCATTAACGATGAACAATGGGGTATTGGTGTAGAATAGGGAAACATTCCTGAGGATGATCCGAATACATGTCAACACAATTTTGATCCTCTGCAGAGGGGATGGATCTCCTCCTTGACGACCTGCGCGTGAAGTCGAGCTCTTAATGGTGGAAAAGCTTAATTAGGATAGATACCGCACACCTTTGGTTCCTTTGTAGGTTGATCAAAGTGATCACCCATCCACACACTGACCGTAGCCAGTGATCCTTGACTTCGGTGTTCTACTGGGAACCGTGTCTTAAAGTTCACTCTACTGCGAGTTGATCTAATGATCGGATATTTACGTTTTTGAACTCAATCTTAAGGGTTAAAAGGACCTCAAATATGTTAATTAATTAATGCAAACCATATTTTAAGTTATGAAATTAGACAAAAATAAAACGTACTTTCTCTGAAAAACATACCTTTTCTCGACGGATGCACATTTCTGACCCACAAAATATAGGGGATAGCCGCACTCTGGGAAATATGGTCCTAATAATAGGTTGGTCAAAAGAGCCGTCCAACGGGTATTCGCAATCCGAAATAAATCGTCCCAATAGTGAGGTCTGAGTCCAAAGCTTAGACTCCTTAATGTTAATTTTACTTTTTGCGTATTTCACCATGTCCTGAGAACTTTTAAAACGAATTAAAGTAATTTTGCATACAAATATAAATTTTGTTTATCCAAAGATAATTCTTT